GGATTGAACTCAGGCCCTTGCCAGGCAAGCGCTTATTCTACTGAGCCATCTCCCCGACCCCAATCAGGCTGGCTTTGAATCCACTATGTATCCTAGGCTGGCGTCGAACTCGTGGCAATCTTTCCTCCTTGGCCTCCTGAGTGCTGGGATTGCAGGTGTTCCTGGCTTCTGTTACTCAGATATCGAATGGATCCTTCGGCTCCAGCAGCATGTGAATGCTCCAAGGGCCACATGCAGCTGTCCAGTCCACCTGCAGGAGGAGGGTTGGACTTAGGTTCCACTCAGGTGCGGTTTGAAAAGGGTCACTAGATCTCTTGATCTTGAGTTTTTCCTTCTGCTTCTGTTTCCTAGGGTGACGTTCCCTGGCTCCCCTCCCCACCCCAGCATCATGCATCGGACCACACGGATCAAAATCACGGAGCTGAACCCTCACCTCATGTGTGCCCTCTGTGGGGGCTACTTCATCGATGCCACCACCATCGTGGAGTGCCTGCATTCCTGTGAGTTGGGGTGGGCCTGCCTGGCAAGGCCAGCAGGTAGGGGTGCTGGCTGGGGCAAGTTGGGTCGCAGCCCCCACCCCGGAGAGCAGACACAGGCATGTGTCTCACAAAGACCCCTGGGTCACCAAACAGCTGTCAGGAAAGGGTGTTTGGTGGGAGTGTCTCCAAACAGTTCATTTTGGGGGCTCACAAGTAGAAATCCTAGGGCCGGGGAGATGGCTCAGTAGGGTAAGCACTTGACTGGCAAACGCAAGGATCTGAGTTCAATCCCCGGTTCTGCCAAAAAAAAGTGTCACTGTGTAGTTGAGGCTGGCCTTGAACTCATGGCAATCCTCCTGCTTAATGCTGGAGTTAGGGGTGTGCATCACCACGCCTGGCTCAAATCTAGAGATCTCAGTTCTCTTGTGTCTCTGAGGCTGAGATGTCCCCCTGAAGATGCAGGTACCCCTTGTTGGCTGCATGGGCCCAGTTGCCAGACGGCAGGGCTCAGGGAGGTGTCTTAACAGGGCCCCTAGGGCTTGGGGCTCGGTGGTCTGCCCTCTGAGGCCTCACGGTGGGCCACCTACATGCAGACACAGACCCTGGACAAATGGCGTAGCCAGGTGTGTGGGACTAGACCTGTGTTACCACGAGGGGTCTCTGGTCAGGGCCACACGACGGGGACTTGGTGTAGAGGAGACAAGTACCTTGGGCTATGCCAGGGTGGGCCTGGGCAGAGGTGGGAGGAGCCCTTATGGTCCTCTCTGCTGCACCCTTAGTCTGCAAAACCTGCATCGTGCGCTACCTGGAGACAAACAAGTACTGCCCGATGTGTGACGTGCAGGTCCACAAAACCCGACCGCTGCTGAGTATC